CTTTTTTATACATTTATTGCGTAAAATATTTATTTTTGATTTTTATTCACTTTCAGATATCAAAATATTATATCATAATAATTTAAGTATTCAACGTTCAGTTCTAAATCAATATTAGTCAGTGAATAAATTATTTATAAACAGCTGTCAATTTACTGTACAATTATCACGTAGGTATTTCCCATGATATTTTTCAAATCAAACTTCATTCACTTATGAATATTAAAGTTAGTTAGTCCGTTAGTCGATGAGTGATAATAACTGATCACTGATAAGTGATACTACTGACACTAGTGACTAGTAAATACTAATTATTATCCCATACATTTAATCAGCACGTATTATTGTAATTTGGACATTTAGCCATTTAGGTAACATGTTGATAGACTTAATTTAAACTTGTGCGCTTAATAGAAATAAACACCTTATACTTTACTTTGTATTTTACTTTTATAGTATATTAAAATAACAATTATTTCCCACAAGGCCCATGGTCTATATTAATAAAAAGCAATGTGTGTGTAAGAGATCCACAGCCAAGCCTACTGCACACATGGTTATTAAATTTAGTACAACCAAAATGTTTTAAATGTTGCATTTTAAAGTTCAGCCTACTGCATTTGACCATACATAAGGGTACAATTGGTTTCATAAAATAAAATAGTTATTATAATTGGATATATTTCTAGACCTGTATTTTATACTTGATCAAAACCACCCAAATTAATGTGTTAAAAATATGTGCAATTTTCATTTAACGACAGGACAAATCCACTTTCATCGTTTTATTTGTCACCGGCAACACCGTTCAGGATCAGTTATAATTAAAAAATATATCTATTCAATAAAATTAAAGGCCTAAATGGTATGACCATTATGTAAATCCACAGTTTTCGACCACGGTTTTCATGAAATGTTTGTCAATAGATCTAGATCCGTAATATCGTAGACTAATAGGCTACTTTTTATAATTTACTTTTTACTCTCCAACACATACAATATGTTTAATATGGTTGACTCATGGAAAACTTATCATTTTTTTTTTATTTATATATTATTGCCATCTATGGTGATAGAAAATAAAATAGTTATAATTATGATGGGATATATATTTAGAAATTTATTTTATATTTGGTCTAAACAATTCAAATAACTGTGTTAAAAATCTGTTTATGTTTAACGGATAGTTTAAGAAGTGGTAAAACCACTGGTATTTAATTCGTCTAGAGCAATGCAGTGCAGGATCAGCTATAATATAATATAAAATCATACAATGTTATGACTTATGATATTGAACCTAAGTACACCATCTTATGATATATTATATAGGTACTATGGGTGCATGTCACACTTTAAATCCTTATCACATTAATCAAATGCACTAGTATATTAAACTTTTTTTTTTAAATCACGAAGTCAACGTCAGTCGATCCCTATTCTAAAATTATTTTAATGAAATTCCCTTAGACTCTTCAATCTTCATATTGTGAAATTTGTTGATATATTTGATAGAAAAGTGCATTTCTGGTTCAATACATTTAAATGAAAAATATCTCGAATTCAAGAAAGATAATAGAATGGAAAGTAATTCAATCTTTTTAATGTTGGTATTCAATATTAAAAAAAAAATACGCTATACGTCGGCTTGATTTATATTATTATACAAATAAGTAAAAATAATGTTTATTTTATTTTTTACCACCATTATTTATAACAGCTTTATCTACAATCTGACTGAATTTTTACATTAACATTACACGACGTCAATGTTAAAAACTTAAATGTCAATAAATGAAAACTAGATATTATAGCGTATAAAAAAAGGTCACCCTATAATATTTCAATCCTGGCATGGGGTTTCCGTATCTACATAATCAATCATGTAAGAGCAAAATAATAATATATCAAAGCATTACATTATTTGTTTATGAATTTATATGTGAAACAGTAAGTGACAAAGCACACACACACATATATATAAAAGTAACCTATACAATACTATTATGTTATAAGCATATTATATTATTCGATGCTTTGAAGTGTGTTTATCCAAATAGTTTTTGCGTTCAAATTAAATTTACTAACGCTCGTCGTTTGCAATAAAAACAAAAAAATGTCATTACGAAAGCATACGGAACACGTGCCTATCTATAATAATAAACTGGTATGTAGGTAGGGTGGTTGGAAACGACTGCAACGTGATACTTATATGATGTAGTTTGCGAGCTTTTAAAGTTTTGGACGGGATAATAATAATTTATAAGAAGCACGCGCGTATTCAAAGGATAACACGGTATCGTTTGTCATGATATAATACCACCGTTATTTTAATTTGTCAAATGGATTTTGAGTTATTGTAGGTAGTTGTAAACATCATAATAACATTGCAGCGTAGGTATGTATACATACGTATATGTATGTAATATAATAATATATCATATTATAGTAAATAGTAATATTATAGTCTATAGACTCGTATTGTGAAATAAAACTGCTGCAACAACGACAACAATAATAATAGTAATACTTAGTAATGATCACACGACAGACGCGTACCCACGTCAAGTCTCGGGACTTGGACCACGCGGAGGACATCGTATACGACCGTCGACCGTTATAATATAATATATTATTTATCATATATACATAAGTAATATGGTGTATAGCCACCCACTACGGGGTGGCGGGTGCAGTGGCTGAAGAACAACCGCGTGCATATTTGTTTCGTTTTTACGTGCTAGCTCGGTTGTATTTAATATATATATATTATATGTATAAATAGGGGTGAGTGAGTGTACAGCAAAGTTTTAGCAGAAAACTTTATTTTCCGGAATTTCTACGAAATATTATTATTATTATTAAAGTTTCTACCACGCGCACTACACATGTATAAGACTCACACTGACAAGCATCGCTGTCTGTGCCATGTGGGCGGTGGGGGTGGTGGGGGTAGTGTTGTGGAGGGGTGGTGGAAGCTGTGAAGGGAAAACGTGTACCAAAAGGCCCGCGTGTGCAAAAGTCTCGCTAATAGAAGATTTTCAGCTTGACGAGACGACGTATAACATAACAACCAGTAATCTGTTTCCCTGCAGTGCCTATACGACGACCACGACTCCGACGACGACAACGATTATGAATAATATGTTACGCCAGCCGCGATAAATCAGTCTTAATTATTATTGTGTTCCGAGACTTTTTGCGTCTCGACAATCTCGAGTGTGCATTATTATTATTATTATTACAAAAGTACCTTACAGAGAACGGCTCTTGTGCGCGGCGTTTTCTAATTAACCGGAGCCTTTGCCCCTCCGCATCCGCACACGGTGGCTCTTGCAGCTCGGACACGTAATTGGTCAATGTGCTGGTGCTCGCGGATCATAGCAGCGCGAGGCCATCCGTTATATAATATTATAACATATTACATAATAATAATATAACCTGAGCGCGTATTACGTATCGCCTTTGTTCAGGGACAAAGGATTGCTTGTAAAAATAAGTGCGCTTAATACAATACAATACATATATAATATATATATATATATTAAGAGGCCCCAGTCTGCCGCCCCGGTGGCGCGCCTTTTGATATATTGCACGGGGCGCACATAACGCGAGTAAACGGGCAAACGAGAAATTACTTAAGTATAATATTATTCTTTTTTTCTCTAAATTTTTTTTCTCGGCTGCCGTCGTTTAATCTCGACGACGGCTTTTCGCTTAGGTAGGCGCGTTTACCGTATAGTTACGCCGAACAAATGACGCATTTCACGATCGAGCTCATATTATTTTATTATGATATAGGTACACACGATGAAAATAATTATACGGAAAATTCAGGGGAATTTAATTATTATTTAAATAGCAGAAAACGTATTATACGTGCTACGTGGGTGCAGGTTTAATAATAATATTATATACCTGCCTACCGTAGTCGAATGCTTAGAATTTTATTATATGTATAGAAATATTAATCAATAGCCCCGTAGCAACAAAACTACGTTTTACATTTTTAAAACACTTATTATATACATAGTTCAAACGTATTGTATTGTAATTTGAAACAACACTATATCGCTTTACCTAATTTTCATCCTATAAAAATTCAACTTACAGTTTAGTTGTATTTCAGTACAGTTGGCCTGAAAAGAACCGTTCGGGTTTATTAATAATATATAAGCAATATTAAAGCAAGTGCATAAACACGGTGTCACACGTTGTGAGTGAATGATAAGTATAATGAAATGATCATTTTTGTACTAGCCTCTACCCGCAATTGAATACACCAAAATATTATGACCCAGATGTCGAGGCCTCTCCTAGCACATATATTTTGATGATACTTAGCATTATACATAGTAGCATTGTACAGAATTTCATACTTTTTCCGACATGAAACCACTCAATATTTTACTCGGTGAAATGCCATTTGTAAAATATTTTTCTAGTGAATCCGTTACCCGGAAAACAAAATAATACGGATGCAGCATTAAATTTCCAAAATTTAAATTAGAATTAGGAAACTATACTACTCCAATCTTCTTAAATTAAGTAGCTAACACATAGTAGATACCTAGGGTTATAATATTGTAATAATATAATGAAACATTTTAAATACTCCTTCAACTAAAAAAATACTTCTACACACACACACACAAAGAATAATATAAAATCACATTGTAGAGGTGAAACCAATATTAATATTCTTTTTAGTCACCACACTCACAACTTACTATACATTGTAGTTATTATTATTATTATTATTATTATGTTACTATATAATATGTGGTGTAACAAGTAAAAACTAATTGTCTGTCTATGATTTTGTATTGGATATAAACGCATACAATTTCTAAAAATACAAGAACAAAATTGTGTTATCCTAATATATTGTGACTTTATTACTACTTACCAATTAATGAATTGTACTATTACAATAATTATTATAATTGTGGCAAATACCTATATTTTAAAATTTTAATCGTAAAATACTTTTTGTTTCTCAGTTATGCCTTACGTCCAATGTGAGCACAGCTGACTTCAACATGGGCTACAGTATCACCGGTTCGTTGGAGTGTGGATCCACAAAAAACAACAGTTTCCAAACAACACATTTCGCCGTTATTCGGAGAAGAGATTTCGATACAAATCGGCCGTAACAATAAAAAGTAACTCGAAAAAAGCAAAAAAGGATTGTTCCGACCAATAGACGCACACCTGAGACTATTCGCTGAATTATGTATATTCAATCCTAAACAATTACAAAGATAATATTGTAATACTTTAAAGGCATACAATAGGCATAAAAAACATACTATGGAGGGGGGATGCTGTGTTCAAATTTTTCTGAACCATACGAGATAATATATTATAATTATAATATATATATATATATTATAATATTATAATTATAATGTCATTATAATTATAATATTATATAGGCACCTATTGGTATGACAATATTTTTTTGTTGATAACGACTGCAGGATTCATATTCACTGCCAATGTTTTAATGTTTTTTTTTCTTTTTTATTACGAAGACATCTTGTAAATATAATAATATAACATACTGTTTATTAAAATCAATACAATCAGATAAATACGTAGGGTGGTTAAAATTATAATCACATCGAATTAAATATCGCACTAAATAGTAAATAGGTATGCACGATATTATTTTGTTTCTCGTGTAGTATAGAGCTGCCCACTGAATACGAGGATTAAACTAAATTCGATTACACCACTGAAGTGATTTGAAATGATTTAATCCTCATATTCTGTTGATGAACGTAATGAATTAAATAAATAATAAAATAGTATTATACTACAGCGAATTGCTAGTTATGAGTTTATGAGTATACTATGGTCAAATTAATGTTTGCTGTGGGACATGAGTATAATATTATAATGTAGTTAAAAATATTATATCATAATAAAGTTATTATGAAGTACCTCGGCTTATTCCAAAATTAGTATTTTTCTATTGTTATTAATGAAAATAAAATAGCGTATTAAATAATATTATTCTGGTTGATATAAATTCAATACGATTATTGGATAATACCTATATAATCTGATTAAATTATGTTTTATAAAATACGTACCGAATCTAACAATTTTATAATAGGTATCTTGTACGTTGATTACATTTCTTCGTTATTAAAATATTATATTCTTCGGTAATTGAAACCATTATAATATTATTATAAGGTTTAAATAGCCTGGGAACTGTAATGTTACATACCTACATGTTAAGTTATAGTTATAATTAGGTGTATAAAAATTACGTATTTAAGAGTAGAATAAGAAGTACCTATACAAGTATAATAATTATAAGTATAATATTTTTTTTTTAGTAGATATTTTTATTTTAATCGATTAATAAATTAACATAATTTTGTGTAGTTTTTTTTTTTGTTACTATTTTTTCGATAATCAGAAGTCAAATTGTATACATCTATTTTTAAAAATAACAAAAACGGCTTTTATCTTGTTGTCCACATATTAAACTGCAGATTCGTCACCCTATAGATCCATTTACAGTGGACGTGGCGAGTAGCATTAAAGCAGGGTGAAGTTTCATGGGAAAGTTTTTAAAAAATGCAGAGCATAAAACTTTCTGTTTCAGATTTTCAGTTAAAGTTTTAAGAATTCGCATGAGCTGTAATGTAAATTTCTGGCATTTTATATACTTTTCATTGCAATCCCAACGATAATCCGTACGTGAGCTGGTTTTATCACTCAAACGTGATTCAGATGTATCTGATCGGATATGTATGCGCTCAAATGTCTTGGATTTCTTAAAAGTTTAACAAGTAATTTTTTTAATGTTACTTCTATTTTGTACAACCAAAATTATACTGTTAGAATCGACATTATAATAATAAGTACCTAATTAATAACTATAGTTTAAGAGTGATAAGTCGAGCTACGATGGTTTCATGAAAAAAATTAATTTTAAGGTAAAATCTCTACTTATAATTCATGATTGATATAAAAAAAAAAAAAATAGTTGTAATAATATACATTAATCGGTGTTTTACGGCCATAAAATCAGATAACCCGTCCATAAACATTTTGATGTCACTATATCCAATAAACATCTAACTATAATACATTTAAGATATTATTTTAAATGTTCTGATGTTTTTAATATTTTGCCTACTGTTTTAGTTAAATCTTTGTGTCCTAAAAATTAGATTAATGTACACACTATCAATACAGTATTTTGATATGAAATTCCGAAGTTGAATAGAGCTGTATAATAATAGAATTAATTAATATATTATAAGGTTGTAAAAATATGCTTTCATAGAACTATTTATTTATGACTTAAGCATTTATTAGGCATAACAATCTATGTATTTATTGTGTATTTGCTTTAATTTTGACGCAAATTTGTGATATTGCAAATAAACGTTTAATCAATTTGCTATATCTATGTTTTTGTTTTCATTTCTTTGTACCTATCTATTATAGCTTTAATAATCTCCATTAGAACTACTTCCTTAAGCTCAATACATACTATGTAATATATATCATATTTTTTAAATAAATCGCTTATATGATCAATTATTATATTGTATTACTGAAGTTTAAGATTTTATTTTGAATAACAATTACTTACAAAGTTTTACAAAAAGTAAAAATAAACTTAAACCCATGATGTCATATTTTTGTTAACATTTTAAGAACAAAAAATATAATTAGACTTTCTCTACTCCTAGCATGATATCAGACATTTGTTGGATATTCGGCCGAATCGTTTTTCAAACGCAATGATTTATCATTGCTTTCAAATATAAAGACATAACCTGTCTCAGTAGTCAACCTAACTTTAAATATACACTTATATTTAGTTTATTATAGTATGGTTGAAGTTGAACCTACTCCATAAGTTAAAAAAATGACTGAGTGTCAGTGTCCGAGCAAATAACTTACAAACTGCAGTTCGAATAATGTTTAAGTCTGGATTTTGTCTTATTCGTAACCTACGACAGAAATGATAAATTATGATACGTAGTTTCATTTTCATCTCTAAAATGTTTTTAAAAATAGAAAGTAAAATGAGTTCATAATATTATTTGTATCCTCTAAAGATGTCTCTAAAAACGAACAAATAGCTTACAGTACTATTGTAATTTGCATTAACATTATAATATTGTTATTTGTTTTTCTAGAAAAGTGATTTTATTAAGACTACATAAACGTAGGTACACTATTTATTCACCAAATCTATAAAACTATTTAGGTACCTACAGTTATATTTTTGTGTTTTAAAACGAAAGCACGCGTATCAAACATAATAACCAGCTAATTCCACCGAACGAACATTTGAATATGGACGTGCCCTTAATGATTAATATAGGGGGCCGAAACGGACTAAGGCGTCTGCTGCGAAGCAGTCGACGCTGGTTCGATACCTCGGCCTCTGGTGGCATTTTTCTTCGGGCAAGTCACGGTGTCTGGAGAAAAAGTGCCGCCATCTCCTACCCGGGACATGGCAGAAACCTACTTGTGCCCCATTCGAAATTCAGCCAAAATACAACACTACACGTGTACCAACCTACCCAACCTAAAACCCCACAGTTCCCTCCCCACATCAATGGCCTATGTTGCGGGCGGGTTATCCAATTGAAAAAAAAAAAAATGATTTATATATGTTCGCTAATTATTATAATGACTAACACACATTTTTGCATCTGTAATATTATTACAGGTGTCTGTCCACATCATATTGTAAGTATAGTTATTCGGTTCAAATATGAGTTCAAACCGTTTTTTACAAAACATTTTAACCCATTATCGAATGTGTTCAGTATAGGTAAGGTAGCTATCCGCATTATTATGTGTCAAATAATGTAGTCTTTTGTAGGGTTGTACATGTAGGAATTCTTGACGGAGTTCCATTTGACAATTTAACAACATAATAATAATAATAATAATAATAATAATAATAGTTTAATCCCCCGTCCGTGGCCGATCGTATTGACACTTGTTAAGAGGAACACAGCACGTGTACCTTTTTGCAAACACATAATATATATTATATTTTGAACAGGCTACCTCGATACGCACGCCTATTTATTATATTATGTATATAGGTATGGACTGTGTTTACACCTATTTACACAGGAAATTTAGTGAATAGAGGTGCCTACCAGAAAAAATAAAACGTGCAAATTTCCTAAAGCTTGCCGGCAGGGGCACAGAAAAATAATAATATATATTGTACGATCTGCGTGGGGTTGTGGTATAGCACGTACCAATCACGTACTCACAAAGGTGTTTCGCATAAAATATCGTTAACTCGTTCCCTCAAAACGAACGCATATTATATATTTTTTATTTTGCTTAGCATTACTTATTATTATAATATACGACTCGAACCGTTTCGCAGTCACGTACCCACGAATACCTATACCTATATATATACCCTATACACATATAACAATAATTCACATAATTATTAATACGCGTGTTGGTGCGGTCGTGTTGCCACGCGGGGTTGGCGTTGAATTATGCAACACACATTGATACAGGAAATTAGTATTGGATGCAAAATGTGCGGTTTCTCGTTTGCCACGAGAATTGGCAACTGTCATACAATATGTATATGTATAATAATATGTACAATAGACATGTCACACATTTAAAAGATGATCAATTCGAGTGACAACACAATTTGACAAATTTCAATATATTATTATTATTATTATTATTATTACAGATGGACATTTTAAATAAGCTATATACACCATAATTATAACATTGTCAAGTAATATCAATTGTAAATATACCAAACTACATAGAGTGATGTGTTGGTCACTCTTCTCACCTTTGACTTTTCCTTTGTGTTGTTTTTATAACCACACGAGTATATTATTACATTTTTACACACGTCTATGAATGTTGACATTTTTGTAGCAATCCTAAAAAAAAGCAAAAACTTCTCTACTACACTTAATGTTGTAAAATCTAAACTCATACATTGTAAATAATTGACTGCGTAAGACAAAGATCATTATAAAAATAAATAATAATTAAAAAACTTCGATTGAACCAACCATCGGTTTGATCAAATTCTGATTTTTTTTTATTTTAGCTGTTCGCCTATGCATAGTTATATATCTGGACATATTATAGTTAACATGCACTA